GAATGAGTGCAGTGAGAGAGCTTTTCCCTTCCTGACATTTGTGGTTCCTTTACTGAAGGACACTTTTCACTGGAAATAGTAGATGTTGCATTTTATAGTCTTCCAATGTTGGGTCTGTGTCCATTGCTTCAAGTTTTAAAATGTAGTTAATGCAGAAGGAGGGTTTACACTTCTGTGCTCCAGTGTGATTTTTTTTTTTTTTTTATCAAAAAACTTTTTGATGAAGATTTCTGCTATAGACAGAGCTCTTTGTACTGAAAAAAACTTAGTGAGGTCTCCAGACTCTTTGGCTGGGACTTTTGAGAAGAGCGTAGGAGGTTCTGTCCCAGCATCTGGACACTGACAGCAGCCTGGCTGGATGCTCCAGCTGGATATTCTGGTGCTCAGTCCTCCAGAAGAAGACACATGAATCCCTTCAGTGGATCATATGTCTGTCCTCTCCACAGGGCAGTTTTTCTGGCCCTAACACTGCAGATTCTTGAGTAGATAGCTCTCCGTAATGGGCCCATATTGCTGTTTCTGAGCTCTCACGTGAAGACTCCTACATTCAACATAAGCTGCTGAGAGTAAGGCGAAGGACCCCCAGAATATTTCTTCCTATCCCCTTCTGTCACTGGGTCTGTGTGTGGGGTGAGAGAAGGGGCTGAGGTGGTTTCTTATCCTTTGAAAAGGATAACGAAAAAAGAAACGAAGAGCTCCGCAGTCCAGGGTAGATGCTCTGCTGCCCCACCTTAAACCCCAGCTGAGCTTAGGCTCCCCAGGACTGACAGATCTGCCTCCCTCCTGTGTGCCTCCAGCCATCTCCAAGCTGTACTGTTGCTACTGACCCACGGCTTCCAGCACGTTCCTTTTCCGAAATGCTGATGTCCAAATTTCAGCTTCTGCCTAAGGAGCGGGGCAAGCCCTGGCTTTGCTTTCCTAGCTGGTCCCACGTGAGCCAGAGGGACTTTCTGCGGAAGCGGGCGTTGGCCGGGGAGGTGTTGGGCTGATGGAACTCCCAAGTTTGTTGAATAAGACTGAAAAAGAAAATGTGGCTGTAAGCATTTTCCTGACCGGTTCAGGACCAGCTGTTGGCTAACTTCCTCCTGTTGGTTGCAAAATGCTTTTTGAGGAAATCAGGGGGTAAAAAGAAAAACAGACAACAAGGTGATTTTATGAGGCTCAGCTGTGTATGTGTGGACACTGTAGACTTTTGCTATCTGTTAATCATCACTCTTTATCCACAGGCAGCTATTCTCTCTCCATAAGAGACTATGATCCACAGCACGGTGATGTTATTAAGCACTACAAAATTAGGAGTCTAGACAATGGAGGATTTTACATCTCTCCAAGAATAACTTTTCCCAACATCAATGATATGATCAAACATTATCAAAGTAAGTTAAATCGGTTAGTGGATTACTTAATAGAATACAGCCATTATTTCATTATTTCCTGTGAGGGAAGATAAGTGCTTTCTTGTTTTGTTTCAAACCTCTTCATCCTTTTCATCCTTCTTTTTTTTTTTTTTTTTCTCCTAAATAACCCAGGCATGCTTGTTGTCTAAGATACGTAAAACTGGTTGGAACACCAGTAACGTTGTTATAATCAGACCTAATGCTGCTTGCTGTGGGGCACACCATTGTGTAATAAACAATAGTTTTATAAAACACCTCATCAAGGTTATGATGATGTGAAACTGCAGTAAAAATTGACTGCATTGTAAATAAATTCTGTATTTGAAAGTAAATTTGTATCCACAATGAGCAGAAAGACGTATAGACTTGTGAATGTCTTCTTGTGGTGTCAAGTGTGGAATTGTTTTTCTTTTTCCTATAAAATATTTGTTTGTTTGTTTGCTTGTTTATTTATTGTGAATGGCGTTTTGAAGGAAGTAAAAATCAACTGATTTCAAAGAAAGAAAATTGCACCCACAGAAAATTTTTTATTAAAAAAGGGGGGAATGGAGAAGCTACAAAAATGACTTTTCATGCTGCATAACCTCCTGGTGGATAGGTCCAAAAAATGTGGGGTTTAGTCTTGTAGCTGGGAAGACAGAGAAGGCAAAAAATGTAGGACAGAAAATCACAGAGTGATTTTTCCAAGCCACACTGAGGACTTGAGATTTCTCTGCATTGTTAGACATGCATGGTAATTCTTTGGCACAGCTGAGAATTATTCTACATTTGTATTAAAGATGTAGCTGGTCAGTGTTTGGAGAAAAAAAAAATAATGGTGACCTACTTATGCTTGCATGCACATGTGTCTGAAACAATGCTACAAGAAAATGTAATGAGAAACTCAGAATATGAGTTCCAAGCCTGACTCCAGTGTGCGTCTTCCTCAACATACTGTCAGTAAGCAGATCTTATATTTTCTTTAGGTGGTACAAATGGTACTGAAAACTCCTCAGTAACCTGATGGTAACCAGATGTATGTGACACTTCTTCATTGACTTTGTCTCTGAATACCAAATTTCAGTTCAGAGGTGCTTAAAGTTCCATGAAAACACCCGAAAGGTTACATTTTCATCAAAGTACCTGTTTATTTTGAAAATTATTTGGAGCTCATTAGTGCACAGCTGTAATTAAGTAACGTTTGTCTCAAAGCAAACTTCATGAGGCACAGAAGTATAATGGATTTTTGTATTTTGTTTTTCCTTTGAAAACCAGAGCAATCAGATGGCTTGTGCAGAAAGTTGGAAAAAGCTTGTATTAGTCCAAAGCCCCAAAAACCATGGGATAAAGACGCATGGGAAATCCCACGGGAATCGATTAAATTAGTGAAGAAGCTTGGAGCTGGTCAGTTTGGAGAAGTCTGGATGGGTAAGTTTATTCCTTAGGAAACGGTGTTTGAAGAAGTGTCATTTCAGAGTCATTCAGAATAACGGTGGCCATGAACCTGGCCTGATGTATGTATATGATGTATATAATTTTTATTATAATAACAGAATGGTGTTGGGTTTGGGGTTTTGGCATTTTGTTTTGTTTTAGGTTTTTTTGTTTGTTTGTTTGTTTTTTAACAGGATTCTATAGGCAGGGCATTTCTGAACAACTTAAAAGTGTTTCCCAAAACTTATGAAAGACGCAGAGCTATGAAGGAGTCTCTGGGGACCCCCGGGAGGGTGGCAGGGTAGCAGG